GCTTCAGGACACCTACACCAGGAGATGCCGGACTAGAGCAGATACTGAAGGACCCGTCCCATCCTGGCAACAAACTGTTCCAACTTCTGCAATCTGGTAGAAAGTTCAGCATCATCCGGGCAAGGACAGAAAGACTCAAGAGGAGCTTCTATCCCCAAGCCATCCAGGCCCTAAACCATTAACCTCTTACTGCTGTGGATGCTCTGTCTTGTAACACAACCACAGTGAACCTTTGGCTTCCTGTTATTTATGAGGTATTTGCACCAGAAGCATCAGTGGGGAGTAAAAAGGGGGGAAAACTCATGTACGCCACCTGCTGAAACTGTGGTGAATTACACCACGCTTCGGAGCAGTGTTTTGAAACATTTATGCTTGAGAAGCTTAACACAGTGTTGAAACGTTCAGATTTGAGCTTCCCATCCCTGGGTAGTAGCCCTGTAGCCTTTTTTAACAGTTTTAAGTTTGTACATGATTCTTCTTTGGTTGTTCATACGACCGACTTGAGCTGCCTGGTTATCTGTATCTTTATAAAGAAATTGCATGTTGGATGAAGAGAATTCCCCCCCCCAGTGTGTTTCGTCTATTGCATCTGCAGCTCTCCTTACAGACTGATGTAAAACACTTTTCCCTACACATTTTATTATGTGGGGTTTGACTGATAGACACTTTGCTCTAAATAGTGGGCACAAATACACCCTTGTCCAGTGTGCACAAGAGCTATTGCAGCATACATAGTGTGGTTTTCCTGAAAATGGATACAAACTATCACCTTAGTGTATTTTAAATAAAGCACTCTGAAGCTCTATGTAGCCATTCTGTTTTAATTTTAAAGAACATAATAATAAAAAAAACATCTTTGATATAGAAGAACAAGTGTCCTTGTCACACAGTTGTGGCTTTGGCACAATTATCAATAAAAGAAGAAAAGCCACATCAAAGACAATAGTTGGTTATTATATCTGTCTATTGAAGGCCTTGCACACAGTATATCGTATTTATTGTCACATCAGTGTTAGTAGGTAGCCCCGGCTCCGACAGTGTCGGTCGTTGTGTCCTTGGCCAAGACACTTCACCCGTTGCCTACTGGTGGTGGTCAGAGGGCCCGGTGGCGCCAGTGTCCAGCAGCCTCGCCTCTGTCAGTGC